AAGGCAGAGAAGGTCTCTGGTGGAAGTCTTCAAGCTCACCTATTTTTTTGTTTGTTTGTTTTTTTGGAGTCAAAGTCTCTGTCACCTAGGCTGGAGGCTTCTGATTAGGGCTCACTGCAGCCTCAACCTTTTGGGCTCAGGTCATCCTTCCACCTCAGCCTCCCAAGTAGCTGAGACTACAGGCATGCACGACCACACCCAGCTAACGTTTTTAACATTTTGTAGAAATGAGGTCTCACTATGTTGCCCAGGCTGGTCTCGAATTCCTGGGCTCAAGCGATCCTCCTGCCCCAGCCTCCCAGGGCGCTGGGATTACAGGCATGAGCTGCCATGCCCGGCCCCTCACCTATGTTTTTATTAGCTATTAAACTTTAGACTTGAACTTTAATACCTGAGCCAGAAAAGCAAAGCCTTGAGGGTAACCAGACCCATGCTCCCTAGAAGGTAGTTTAGAGGCTGACTTAGTCAGCTGGGAATACCAGAACACAATACTGTAGACAGAATGGCTTAAACAACAGAAATGTATTTTCTCACAGCCCTGGAGGGTGGCATCCAAGGTCAAGGTGTTGGCGGGTTTCACTTCTTTTGAGCCCTCCCTCCTTGACTGACAGACAGCCACCTTTTCATTCTGTTCTCACACTGTCTTTCCTCTGCGTGTGCACATCCTTGCTTTCTCTCCAAACTTCCTCTTCTTACAAGGAAACCACTCAGATTGGGTCAGGGCCCACCCCAGCAGTTTCATTTTAACTCAATCACCTCTTTAACGATCCTGACTCCAAATACCTTGTATTCTGAGTTCCTGGGGATTGGGGCTTCAACATGTGTGTTAGAGGGGAGGGGACACAATTCAGTTCATAACAGGGATCATATTCCTTAGGATTCCAATTCTGATGCTCTAAAAAAAGACCCAAATCACAGTGTCTAAAACAAGATGGGAATTTATTTATCTCCCACTTAACAGTCTGGCATAAATAGACTGGTGAGTCCATGGATGTGGGACTAGGAAGGCCGGGGCTTTGGGAGAAGCCATGAGAGGGGCAGGAACACTTTGCTACCCATCTATTCAACTAAACCACCGGCACCTGCCCTGTGCCTGGCCCCATGCTAGGCAGTGCTGGGGACATAACGGTGACTGAGAGAGCCTGACCTTGTCCCCTTCCTTACACTCACAGTCCAGTGGGGGAGACGGACCCCATCAACAGATAATGATGACCTAGAGTGGGCATGGAAGCACAGACACCCCCCACCGTGGAAGACCCAGGAGTACTTCCTGGAGGAGGGGGGATTCAGCAGTGAACAATATAGAGCTGGTCATTCCCACCATGGACTTCCCAATCTATCATAGGAGACAGTCACTAAATGAATAATAATTCCAGGGGTAGGATCAGAAATTTTCTCTGCAGAAGTACATTAAAAATGATACCAACCAGGCTCGGTGGCTAAGCCTGTAATCCCGTGCCTTGGGAGGCTGAGGTGAGTGGATTGCCTGAGCCTGCGGGTTCAAGACCCGCCTGGGCAACTTGGCGTGACCTCATCTCTACAATAAATCAAAAAATGAGCCAGGCATTGTAGCGCACGCCTGTAGTTCCAGCTACTTGGAAGGCTGAGGCGGAAGGATCGCCGGAGCCCAGCAGGTCGAGGCTGCGGTGGTCCGGAGCAGCCACTGCACTTTAGTCTGGGCGACAGAGTGAGACTCCAACTCAAAAAAAATAAAAAGAAAAGAAAATGATATCTAGGGCTGGGTGCAGTGGCTCATGCCTATAATCCCAGCACTTTGGGAGGCCTAAGCGGGAAGATTGCTTGAGACCTGGAGTTCAAGACCAGCCTGGGCAACATAGAGAAACCCCATCTCTCATTTAAAAAATATATATATATGAAGCAAAATAATAAAAGTTAGCCAATAGGGACAGTGTGGAAGGTTGTTCTAGACAGCAGAACGGCAGGGGCAGAGGTGGGGTGGCAAGAGGGATGTCGGTGAGTTTGAGGAATTGAGAGAGGAGAACTAGATGGGTGGGCGGTAGACTAGATGAGGTCACTGGTGTTTGTGGCCACTTTTTGTATTCTACTATGCCTCCCAACAGATTGTCAGGAAATACATGTTTGTGATCACTTGGGAAAGGCAGAGAAGGTCTCTGATGGAAGTCTTCAACCTCACCTATTTTTTTTGTTTGTTTTTTTGGAGTCAGAGTCTCTGTCACCTAGGCTGGAGGCTTCTGATTAGGGCTCACTGCAGCCTCAACCTTCTACCTCAGCCTCCCAAGTAGCTGAGACTACAGGCATGCGCTACCATACCCAGCTAACGTTTTTAACATTTTGTAGAAATGAGGTCTCACTATGTTGCCCAGGCTGGTCTCAAACCCCTGGGCTCAAGCGATCCTCCTGCCCCAGCCTCCCAAAGTGCTGGGATTACAGGCATGAGCTGCCATGCCCGGCCCCTCACCTATGTTTTTATTAGCTATTAAACTTTAGACTTGAACTTTAATACCTGAGCCAGAAAAGCAAAGCCTTGAGGGTAACCAGACCCATGCTCCCTAGAAGGTAGTTTAGAGGCTGGATTAGTCAGCTGGGAATACCAGAACACAATACTGTAGACTAAATGGCTCAAACAACAGAAATGTATTTCCTCACAGCCCTGGAGGGTGGACTGCCAGGAACAGGACTGACGGCCACCTCAGGAAGGTCCTTCAGACTCGCCCTTGACAATACTTTTCCCAATGCTGACTGGTAGGTATACACTAAATGCTTCCTTTTTTTTTTCATTTGTTTGTTTTTCTGATTCATAGTCTCACTCTGTAGCATCTGGAGGCTGTGGTGGCACGATCATGGCTCACCACAGCCTCCACCTCCTGGGCTCAGGCCATCCTCCTGCCTCAGCCTCCCCAGTAGCTGGGACTGCAGGTACGCACTAGCTAATTTTTTGATTTTTTTGCAGAGACGAGATTTCACGATGTTGCCCGGGCTGGTCTCAAACTCCTGGGCTCAAGCAATCCTCCCACCTCGGCCTCCCAAAGTGCTTACAGCCAAATCCAGTGGCTTTTGTAAGAAAAGCATTTCACATTATGCCGTAGTATGTCACACCACTAACTGGAAGACAAGTGTAAGGTAGCGGTTATTACTATGAGTAGTGCACGCTGGTGTTTTCTCTTGTGTTTCTTTTCGTGTTTTAAGTGCTGTCTAGGACTCCATAAATGATTTCACTGCCACGCATGGGTCTCACTTGCAGGATAACAAGCCATGAGTCGGCATATGTTTAGGATAGTGCTTGGCTCTGAGGAAGAGCCCGGTTCAGGTGGCTGTCACATTGGTTCTTCTTTCTTTTTTTTTTTGAGTTGGAGTCTCACTCTGTCG